CTCACTCCGCGTCCCAGGTCGCACTCAGGCCTCGCTGCGGCGATGGGTGGGCCGGCGTCCCGCACCGCCCACTCCAGCCCTCGTCCCTCCCGCAGCGTGCTGAGCTACTTGGCCGGCATCGCCTGGTTCCTGGCGCTGGCCTTCCCGCCGCTGACGCAGCGCACGTACATGTCGGAGAACGCCATGGGCTCCACCATGGTGGAGGAGCAGTTCATGGGCGGAGACCGCGCCCGCAACTTTGCCCGGGACTTCGCTGCTCACCGGAGAAAGTCTGGGTGAGCGACCGAGCTTGCGGGGTGGGGGGGCATCGGGAGGGCTGGGGCAGAGCCGGGGGTCCCGGGAGACTGGGGGAGGGGGTGCTCTGCCTAGAGGCTGCCCTTGTGTCCCCAGGGCTCTGCCAGTGGCCTGGCTAGAGCGGACAATGCGGTCCGTGGGGCTGGAGGTCTACACGCAGAGTTTCTCCCGGAAACTGCCCTTTCCTGATGAGACCCACGAGCGCTATGTATTGAAGCGGGGCGGGTGCCTGGGACAGAACACCACCTGGAGGGGTGGCTTGGGAGGGATGACCTGAGGAAGTCCCGGGTGGTCGGCATTGTGCCCAGTTACAGTACGGGAGGGGCTGGAGACCTGTGCCCGACTACCCTGTGCCCGACTACCCTGTGCCCGACTACCCTGTGCCCGACTACCCTGTGCCGACTACCCTGTGCCCGACTACCCTGTGCCCGACTACCCTGTGCCGACTACCCTGTGCCCGACTACCCTGTGCCGACTACCCTGTGCCCGACTACCCTGTGCCGACTACCCTGTGCCCGACTACCCTGTGCCCGACTACCCTGTGCCGACTACCCTGTGCCCGACTACCCTGTGCCCGACTACCCTGTGCCGACTACCCTGTGCCGACCACCCTGTGCCGACTACCCTGAGACATCGCCGCCCTGAGGCTTCCCAACAATGATTTTTGCAGATGGTGTCCGGCACCAATGTGTACGGTATTCTTCGGGCCCCACGTGCTGCCAGCACCGAGTCCCTGGTACTCACTGTACCCTGTGGCCCTGAGTCTACCAATAGCCAGGCTGTGGGGCTGCTGTTGGCACTGGCATCCCATTTCCGAGGTGAGGCTCAGAGACCACTGACCAAGGAGGGTTTGGCCAGTGATCCAGGCCCTGCTGACCCTGCCTCTCACCTCCAGGTCAGATTTACTGGGCCAAAGATATCATCTTCCTTGTGACAGAGCATGACCTTCTGGGCACTGAGGCGTGGCTTGAAGCTTACCATGACGTCAACGTCACTGGTGGGTGCTCATGTCAGGGTCAGCTGTCTCCCCAGCACCCTCTCTGGAGCTCATCTGTTCGGTGTCCTCCCCAGTGTCCCTTCTGGTGCTCATTTGTTTGGTCCTACAGGCATGCAGTCCTCCCCTCTGCAGGGCCGGGCAGGCTCCATCCAGGCAGCTGTGGCCCTGGAGCTGAGCAGTGACGTGGTCACCAGCCTCGATGTGGCTGTGGAAGGACTCAACGGGCAGTTGCCCAACCTTGATCTGCTCAACCTATTCCAGACTTTCTGCCAGAAAGGCGGGCTGCTGTGCACACTTCAGGGCAAGGTGGGACCACCTGCCTGGGATTGCGGGCCCTGGGGAGGCACTGATCTGATCCTGTCTTCATGCCTCCAAAGCTGCAGCCTCAGGACTGGACATCGGTGGACGGGCCACTGCAGAGCCTGCAGACACTGCTGCTCATGGTTCTTCGGCAGGCCTCTGGCCGCCCTCACGGCCCCCATGGTCTCTTCCTACGTTACCGGGTAGAGGCTCTGACCTTGCGTGGTATCAATAGTTTCCGCCAGTACAAGTATGACTTGGTGGCAGTGGGAAAGTAAGTGTCTCTGGTTCCTCCTTTTTTTTTTTTTTTGGTCGGTCGTGGGGCTTGAACTCTGGGCCTGAGTGCTGTCCCTGCACTCTTCAGCTGAAGGCGAGTGCTCTACCACTTGAGCCACAGCACCACTTCGTTTTCTAGTGGTTTATTGGAGATGAGTCTCATGGACTTTCCTGCCCGGGCTGGCTTTGAACTGCGATCCTCAGATCGCAGCCTCCTGAGTAGCTGGGATGACAGCGTGAGCCACGGCGTCCGGCTTCTGGTTCCTCCTTTCTAGCTGGGAGCAGTGTCCCCGGGGCAAAGGCGATGGCTGACGCCGACCCTTCCCTGTGACCGCCAGGGCTCTGGAGGGCATGTTCCGCTGACCCTTCCCTGTGACCGCCAGGGCTCTGGAGGGCATGTTCCGCAAGCTCAACCACCTCCTGGAGCGCCTGCACCAGTCCTTCTTCTTCTACCTGCTGCCTGCGCTCTCCCGCTTCGTCTCCATCGGCCTCTACATGCCCGCGGCCGGCTTCTTGCTCCTGGTCCTTGGTCTCAAGATATCCTCCAACCCACACTGACCAGTCCCAGGGCCCTCCACTCTAGGCCGGGCTGGTCCTCCACCCTGTCCTGAGGGTGGGAGCACAAGTGAGCCCTGGGTCCCACGGGCAGATCTCATCACAGCTCTTACCGGGTCCTTGACTCAGGCCACGCACTAGAGCTATGGATGCAGCTGCACGAGGCTGGAGTGGACCCTGGGGAGGCTGGCAGGGCCTCGGGCCCCCGCCCGCCCCTCCCCCCAGCACAGGTGATGGCGCCCTCTTCTACTGTTGGGTTGAGCTTGCGGGTCCCCAGGGGTCCTTACTACTGCCACTTGGCTTCAGCGGGAAGGGGCAGAGGTGAGGGTCCTTGGGCCTTCCCTAGGTTCCTCATCCAGGTGCCTGTGTTCCCTCAGGGTGTGGGGCTGGCCTCACTTGTGGCGCCTCTGCTCATCTCCCAGGCCATGGGCCTGGCCCTCTACATCCTGCCTGTTTTGGGCCAACACGTGGCTGCCCAACACTTCCCGGTGGCTGAGGCGGAAGCTGTGGTGCTGACGCTGTTGGCTGTTTATGTGGCTGGCCTGGC